TCTCGTGTGTTTTTTTTTTCCTTTCTTGTCTTTATTCGTTCCTTTTTTTTCTTTTTCTTTCGTGTTGTTGTGATGTGATATAATTAAACGTCATTAATGAGAGGGTTGAGGGGGGGTTATCAAGCATTAATTAATAATAAGACCGTGGTATAACACCAAGCTGCCGAAAGAGTGTTGGACCGAGAGGGTCTCTTTTTTCTTTCGCGGACATCCTTCTTCGTGTCGTGTTTGACGGTAGATGGAGCTGCCTGTCCGTCGTATCCAAGTTTGTCAAGACATGGCATCAAATCGAATTGGTCATCTGGATCCACCGTGAAAAATGAGGCCGCGACGAGTTTCACTCAAAGCCCGATCTCAGACGGCAGACTCTAATACTTGAGAATGATGTATCTATTATAATTGTGTTAGTTTTATGCTTGGTTTTATATTGTTGTTGTTGTTGTTGTCCTGGATCGGACGGAGGGATACTGACAGAGCATGGATGATACCAGGGATGTATCCGAGGATGGTCAAACAGATATTGATCAAGAGATCAGCACCGCAGCCTCTCTCGAGGAAGACACCGATTGGCGGGAGGATGATGGCAAGGATGATCTTGCAGATGTCGCTGTTGAGGCAGAAGACGGGGTTGAGGTCAGTCGTCATCTCAAGCTTGAAAAAGCAAAACAGAGGGAAAAACAACGACTTACGAAGCGGTAAAGGCCATTTTGGACGAGCGAGAGTAGCTAGGGAGCAAGAGACGGAGAACTTGATGCTGATAGCGGATGCCAGAGAGCAGGCGGATGGCGGTAAAACGAGAGAGCGTCGACGGGAGAGAGAATGCTGTGGGGAGAAGAAGAAGGGGAGGAGGAAAAGGGAAGCGTCGGACAAGCAGGTATTTAAGCTAGTTTAGTTACTTGAACGAAAAAGCTAGTCTGACTTCAGGCGCGCTGGCTCAACCAGGAAAAAAGCCAGGCAGCGGCTTTTGGGCCCTGCGAGGGAAGCAAGAGCAAAAAAACACAGGAAGCTTTGATGAGTCAGCGGAAGTAGCCAACCAGCGGCCGCGCGGCAAGACGCTAAGCCGAAGCGGGCTTGCTTAATTTGACTCTGCAAGATCAGGCGTGACCTCGGGGTACTTTCATGTGCCGCAGGATTTGTATGGAGGAAGAAGTACTTGCAGGTCGCGATGGATCTTGCGTAATGATCGACCCCTCGCCTGGTTACGTCATCTTTTCAGCTTCAGCTCGCTGCGTCGCTTCTCGTCAGTTCCAAGCAACCAAGCAAGGCGGGTCAGGCCATTTGTCGAGCATGGGGAATGAGCAGTAATAGAGTAAGTATATTCATAGTAACGGGCCTCCTCGCTAAACTAAGCCAACGGCGCCCGAAGCCACGATATGGCTGCCACATGACGGCGGGCCTCTGACGTCTGATTCTCCAGCCCTGTCCTGCTTTTAAGGCTGCGAGCCGGATGGCCGACCTCTGGGTCGATGAGGGCTGAACGCTGAGCTTGTGCCTGGCCTGGCTGTCTATGGCATCTCTGATGTGGCTGATGTAATACTAATACTAATATTAACAATAACAAATAACACTACTTCAACTCGCTCTTTCCTTCCTTACAAACTCCCACCTGCGCAGCTTCCAGGACTGTCGGCCGCGGCTACCTCAACCGTTTAGACGGAGCTTCATGTTCCGACTTCCGCTCACGTGATCTAGGCGCCCGGCGGGCCAAAGGATGGAACCTTCCATTCATTGCCGACCGTTATAAGGTTGCATTGAGCACGATTGCTCTTTATTCCGTTTGCCTGGCAGATGGATAACGGTACTGTTGCTTTTCGTCTAGATGCGCTATTATCGTGCGTGCTCTAGGCTATCAGAAGAGACGAGGTTTTTGACCATAGCCTCCCCAAGACACACCATTAACTTGTTAGTTGACTAAACTATGCAACTACTGGGTTGTTCGAGGAAGACCGGACTCAACTCACAAGTCAACACCGGATATCCAGCTTGTCGAGTCGTCAACCGTACGGAATCACTGGAGAGATATACAGCTGAGACCCTGGCTGTCAACCTGGTCCATGCATAATGCAATCAGCATGCGTGTTTTCTCGATGGGAGGACATCGGCGCAGGCAGATACCTGGCACCCTTTTTCTCAAAAATCGGTTGTCCCAAGCTGTCGGGCTTCCTTGGATGAACCTCCCCCTCCAGAGAGAGAGGGATTACCAGGATGGCCATGGAATATAGTGGTCGCGAGGCCTGAGAGCAGCAAGGATGGAACAAAGAAATCCCAGCAGCTGTACATGCAAGTGACAGCGAATCATTGGCCCTGGGCTAGTTACACATGGCGCTGGATTTACCGGGAAGCGACTGATTGGGGGAAGACCATGATTTAATTCCCTCTAATCTGGACCGGAAGATCAAGCTATGACGGTGAAGGTATATATCTCTCCCATGGCTTAGGGGGAAGGGAAAAAAAACCCCAATACCTAACTAAGGCATGGAAATAGGCTCAAATAGACAAGCTGCCTTGCGCACAACTCAGTTTTGATCTACTCCATTTCCACCAGGGACACACATAGCCAGTCAACATGACGACTTCTGTCTTAGCAAACACGCTGAAGCTAGCTACGGAGTATCCGATGACCGCATTGGGTACGGTCTTCCTGCTATACTTGACCTCCCTTGCCGTCTACCGGCTATTCCTACATCCTCTGGCAGGATACCCGGGTCCCAAGATCGCTGCTCTCTCCGTCTGGTACGAGTTCTTCCACGATGGCATCCGGAAGGGACGTTATACGTTTGAGATCCAGCGCATGCACGAAAAGTACGGACCTATCGTTCGCATCAGCCCGGATGAACTTCACGTAAACGACCCCTGTTTTATCAGTGAGCTCTATTCCGGCCCAGGTAAACGGCGGGATAAATACCCCTTTTACAGCGCCCAGTTTGGCCTTCGTGATAGCGTAGGGGGTACCCCCGGCCATGACCTGCATCGTTTACGCCGCAATGCTCTAAGTCACTTCTTCTCAAAGGCCGCCATCACTAAATTAGAGCCCATCATCCAGCAGAAGGTTGAGAAGCTAGCAAGCCAGCTTGAGAGACATGCACAGACTATAGGACCAGTTCCCCTGACAACAGCTTTTAGCTGCATGACGACTGATGTCGTTACCGAGTACGCCTTCGCTAAAAGCTACAATTTTCTAGACTCCCCTACCTTCGAGCCAAATATCCACGATGCCATCTCGGCAGGGAGTCTTATAGCAGTATGGCAGAAGCAGTTCCCATGGATCTTACCCACCATAAATGCCTTGCCACAGTGTTTGCTACGGCATATCAGTTCACAAGCAGCAGAGTACGCCAAGTTTCAGCAGGACATGCGCGTAGAGCTTGCTAATGAGAAGGCTAAAATTGCTCGGGGGGAAAAGCCAAAATCTGCATCCCGTACAATCTTTTATGAACTTCTCACTGGTCCTTTACCAGAGGAAGAGAAGCGGCTCAATCGGATTTGGCAGGAAGGCCAACTTGTTGTTGGCGCCGGGACAGAGACCACCGCATGGGCATTGACAGCTACTCTTTTCTATATCCTCGACAACCCGGATATCCTGTCCAGGCTACGGCAGGAGTTAAGCGTTGCCATTCCCGATCCCAACCAACAAGTGAGTTGGACTGAGCTCGAGAACATCCCATATCTAAATGCAGTAATATCCGAGGGCTTCCGTCTATCGTACGGCTTAAGCACAAGATTGCAGCGCATCAATCCTATTGGTCCCATGCATTTCAAGGCACCGAAACATGGAAGTCGGTATGCTAATTCTGCCAAAACCACGGAATGGGTGGAGTATGATATTCCAAGGGGAACGCCGGTCGGAATGACTGCGGTTTTGGTACATCTCAATCCCGACATCTTCCCAGACCCTTACACTTTCAAGCCAGACAGGTGGCTCGACGAGAATGGCAAACGCCATAGAAGGCTAGATGAGTTCTTGTTAAATTTCTCAAAGGGCAGTCGCCAATGTCTTGGAATCAAGTATGTTCAGCGGCATATTCACACAAACTCTTTGTTCTTAGCCTCGCTTGCTAACACGTTTGCTACTAACAAACAGCCTAGCACATGCAGAACTCTACATGGGTATTGGACTGCTGATCAGGCGCCTTGGGGATAGAATGAGCCTGTTTCAGTGCACAAAGGAGGATGTAGAGGTATATTATGATCGATTTGTTCCGTGCCCAAAGAACGGAACGAAGCGCGTACGAGTGATGATTTCACGGAATGAGTGACATTGGGTACTGTTGGATTTTAATAGTTAGCTAAAGGTAGAAAGGGAGGGGCATATATCTGAGCCAACTCTTCGGGATTTATTGTGGGTAGTGGATGAAGACGAGCATGGGGTTGCATCTTGCATTTTCGTCCAAGCTTGTTTGGTACTTACGTATTATTTTTTGACATTGTTGAAAATGCCAAGCTTTATAGCCAAGACTTTTTATCTCCAAAAGATTTCGTGACCAAACTCAACATTTAATAATATGTAGACGGAAAGGCTCTATTCCTCCCGTTTATATGTAGGCCTTTTACCTCCCTCGAGGCATCGTGTCCATGTCAGCCTTCCTCCGATGCTGTTGGGGGCCATCAACATGGCGGCCGATTAGTGAAATCCCACGGCAATCTCGACTCATAGCTCGGTTCTCTCAGACGGCAGCTCCAGCTACTACACGACAGACCCTCCGCATAGGGAATATCCAATGGAATATACTGGGCTCTGCTACGTTATTAGCTCCAAACCCATCTGCAGTGGTATGTACTACCTATGTACTATTTGTTTTCTTTGTGTCTAATGATCAGCAGACCCCAGATAGTATTCTATCAAAACTCCCCTCATTCAGCTCCCAACTACATCCCGACAGCCATGTTCCGCTCCTCCTCGTTACACCAGCATTCGCCCAATGGCTAGAGAAAGACCATACATTCATCCCGAAGTTACTACACCATTGCTTCCGGGAAGCTGCTGCGGCCGAGAACCTCGAGATATGCTCAGTGGAAGCGGTGGTAGACAAGCTACCTGTCCCTACCAGCATTAAACATCATGGTATGGAAGGACTGTCGCTGGCGATTGTCAACTGGGGCGCTATATCGGGAAAATTAGTGCCTCAAAGAGGCATTGAGAATATCTCGCCTTCTCATATTGAGCCGAAGCTCTCGATTTCTATTCGTGACCCGTCAACAAGTACGGAGCTTGAGATTGGAATGCTCATGGCAAACACGCTTTTCACCACTGGCAGACCGTATACAATGCATGCGTCGAGATGGAAGTCTACAGAGTCGGTTGAAGATGTTCCTCGGATTACGGATAGACGTGACATTCGGACATGCAGGGTTGAGCTACGAACAAAGTCGACACTTAAGTCTCTTGACGCACCATTGCATCCCGTCACCGAGCCCAGGATAGTCGCAGAATGTATGGGGAATATATTCAAGACTGTTTCCAATGAGTCGAGCTTAAAGAATGATGCTCCGGCATCTGCGGAGCTAGAAAAGGCTATACCGCAGTATATTCAAGACCGCAAACTCGAGAGTCAGAGACTAGCTGTGTGGGCTATGGTGACACCTAAAAGCATAGCACGAACTCATATTGGGTCTCCATCTGGCAGCAGCATTGATATATCGGCTTCTCTGAAAAGGGGTTCACGGCTTTACCGTGTGATGAGTGGTGGAGGTGGATGGGGCAAGAAGAAAGGCCTGCTCTCTCTTGATCCCGAGTACTCATACGACGACGAGGAGCCGATATCCAACCTTGTCTCTATACATGAGATATTCGATGAGGATGTTTCTGAGAAACATAGCGATGATGCCATTCTGTTCAACGTGCTGGAGAACACACCCAAATTCACAGACGTTGACGGATTGATGATGAGTCCATTACGTGAGGTTGTGACGACCGGCGACATCGTGCAGTTCTTCGTTGCTTCGTTAGATAATAAGCTGGTCCAGCCAGCTATGCAATCTGAGTCTTCGGCCACGCATAAAGATTCTACAGAAGACACTACTGTTTTGGACTTTTCTGTTCTACCTGCTCCTACTGATGCTCCTGCCTCGTTTCCCAGCGAGATGCTTCAGGATGGATCTAAGAAGTTAAACGACACTATTGTCGAGGCTAATAAGTTCGGAGCTTCCTCCGAGAAATCTATGGTCTATGCTAGGACAGCGGGTGATTTGACGGGAGATCGAGTCCAAGCCTCAGGCACCAAAATTGACGTCCCTGGTGCCAGGCTGGTGGTTGAAATACCATCAGAAGAGCCTCTCTTTAAAATGTAACACTATAGACATGTACAATAAAGAATTTAAATATCATAATCAACCATCAATTCCGTTCTACCGTCTTTTTTATATCAACATCGAGCTTCTGTAAGTGCTGACTCAGCATATTTACCACGTGATGCTTGGCATCTCCCAGCAACAACCCAAAAGTCAAACCTCAGCTTAACAACATCTTGTAAGGGTCAAGCAGGAAAACAACTCGCCATCTCGCATTAATCTTCGACTCACCTCGCCCGTCTCGGTATTCGTGGATTTATAAGCCTTTATCCTCTCTCCTAGCTCCAACACCTTCTCTACGAAACCTCTCTTTCACATCGCCGTCAACATGTCTACTGATCTTTGGTGAGTTGCCTGGCTCGTTACGAGCATCTTGGGACCAGCGCCTTTCCTATTGCTATTCCCTGAAAAGCGGTTTAAATATGGGTGTCATCTTGCTAATCATGTCATCTAATACGTGTTTATAGCCCGGTATATGCGGTTAGTTAAAATCTATTACCCGTTGTTGTTTTCCGCGGAACCGCAGGCGAACGTCAATTCTGGGAGCTTGCATCGAGCTCATACACACGAATGCGAAATGACACCATCAGACTTCATCATCAAACACTGACATATCTTTGATATCATGTAGCCCTTCTTCGGTGCGCTAGGATGCTCTTCCGCCATCATTTTCACCTGCTTCGGCGCTGCCTATGGCACCGCTAAGGCTGGTGTTGGCATTTGCTCCACTCTCGTCCTCAGACCTGATATGATTGTTAAGAGTATGGTTTTGTCCTTCATCCAGCGCGTATGCTCAGGTGTATTGGTGTATAAGCTTTACTAACGACGATGTAGATATTGTTCCCATTGTCATGGCTGGTATTATTGGTATTTACGGATTGGTCGTGTCTGTCTTGATTGCCAACGACTTGAAGCAAAACCTGCCACTATACACTGGATTCGTCCAGCTTGGTGCTGGTCTTGCTGTCGGTCTTGCTGGTCTTGCTGCTGGGTATGTTCTTCACCTGTTCGGTGTGATACGTTGAGATTTCGTGTCAATGTGCTAACCGGGTATTTTTATGTACTGTAGCTTCGCCATTGGTATCGTTGGTGATGCTGGTGTCCGCGGAACTGCCCAACAGCCCCGACTTTTCGTCGGTATGATCCTTATTCTCATTTTCGCCGAAGTTTTGGGTGAGCATTTTTCTTTACTACCTCTTTTCTCTTGTTCCTAAAAGCCGTTGTTGGTTAACAATTTAAATAGGTCTTTACGGCCTTATCGTCGCTCTATTGATGAACTCCCGTGCCAGTCTCGAAGCTACCTGCTAAATGGGAGCGGTCAGAAAATATCATCGACGAGCATCTTAAGTCGTAACTCCCTTTGACGAATTCGGGGCATCAGTCAGTGTGATAGAAGATGGAGGGAGTTACGACAACGTATATAAGCTAACGCCATCATCGACTATCGCTCCGTGACCCACTGTCCCAGCTGATATCGAACCTCTATTTGGATACAAACGCAGCGGAAAACCAAGCTATCCCGTTTCAATGTCAACATCATCTTAGTTATCTACTATCCTAATCCCCTTTTCCTTATATACTTTTTTTCGCATGTATTCACGTTATTTCGTTATGTTTAAGAGTTGTCGTTTCGTCTCTTTACCAGTAATGCGGATAATTGTATCATAACAGATAGCGGTTATAAAGCGGGGATTCCTACCATACCTGCAGTTCCATCTCCCTATTGCCTCTGTGTAGAATTTTTTGATGCCGGTATGATTAGAAAGAATAATCCTCTATATGTGCTCTTCATTCCCTAAAGTGTGTGTGGAAGATAATTGAAAAAAGCTAAGAAAAAAAAAAAGGGAGAAAGAAACTACCTAGAAGAGCGAAAGAACGGCATGTTCTAAGATGGGAGATGATGAGATGGATAAGAACTATCTAAGACATTCGAATCAAAATGAGATAGGAACGCCGGATATAAAGAAGATACACACAAAATATGCATAGATAGGAAGTCAACTAGAGAGAAAAAAAGGTGTAAAGAAGAAGCAACAACAGAGACGGGGCCAAAGACCAATTATATGCAATGATACCCTGTGGAGGTAAACAAATATAACGAGGACAAGAACAAGAACCGGAAACATGAGAGTTTCTAGTTCTTATCCAGTTTCCTTCTGAGGGTCCGTGTCTTTTTCAGCAGCTTCTTGTGCTTGTGCTTCTTCATCTTTAGCTTCCGTTGTCTCTTGACACTGATAGTATACATCCGCTCACGCTGACGTTGGCCCTGGGACCGTTCCCACTGCAATTGCCTAATTACCATTCGCTGGAGGAAGCTTTGCTTTGGCTCGGAGACGGAACGGTCACTAGTCTCTTGGTCCTGGTAGATGGATGACTCACCCTGGGCGGAGGGGGCCTCCATATCATCTATGCGGACGAAGGGAGAAGCATATGCCTCGTACGACTTGCGGCCATCTGCATTGCGGCTTTCACGAATAGTCAGAACGGTGGAAAAGGTCTGTTCGCTGGGCTCGGCTTCAGAGGCAGACTGTGTGGAGCTGGCCTTGTCTACACCAGATTCCGTTCCTGCGATGCTTTCGAGAGCTCCATCCATTGGTGTAGGAGCAGGAGGTGGGTTAAATGGTCGTAGGCGCTTAGCAAACTCTTGGATGGATGCTCGTAGTTCCTGGGTGGGCACGCCATCGAGATGGGTGACATCTGACTCCGCGTGGATGGAGGAAGCTTGTGAGATGGCGTTCCTGAAGTCGATATCCTCGGCAGTTGCCTGATTTTGACCAGGGAGGTTCTGCTCGATGGCGTTAACGGCGGAAGAAAGGGTGTATATCACGTCCTTTTGCCTTGCGGCAGCTTGCTTCTTGGGAGAGAAGATGGCCGAGAAGGTTTTGCTGTCGTTATTGTTTGGAGGTACGGAAGTGGTTATTGACATGGGTCGGTGGATAGAAAAGAACGAAGCTACGTGCACATCTAATAATATCGCTGTCAGTTACAGAGCAAGCTACACATATGGTGTTTTTAAGGCTGAGTGAGCTTCCTTACCGTGAGGATGCAGGTGCTGGGTAGAGGGTACACTCGGCAATTTCAACGAGTTGGCCTGCTTCGATTTTGCCGTCTCGCCATCCTTTCCAGCACGCTTCTTGGACGATCGGCCTTCTCTCTTCTCTGCGTCCTTTTTGCTTGACGGCCCGCTGCTGACACTCTTTGCCGGCGTCTGGGTGGGCGGATCGATGCCTCTGGACCCGTCACTCGGAGGCACAGGGGGCTTGGAGGACGAGTATCGACGCTGATGGCGGTACGGAGGGTTCCCACTGTTAGGGCCAGGAGCAGGATTGCTCGAGGAAACGGCCAGGAGCACTGCTCGAGACGGTAGAGAGGCCGATGATGGCAACGCCGCTCGGCGCACAGAGGAGGTGATCATGATGCCGTTCAACACCAGCCGGAGAGCCAGCGCAGGCAGAGGAGACGGGAGGGAGTGAAAAGAGCCAGGCTCGTGCAGTACTAGGACCCAAATCCGAGGGCTAGAAGTCACCAGCGCGAGGTTCGGGGAGTCGTTAGGCTGTGCCTTTTGCTTTGCTTTGCTTTGCTTCTGCTTTCCGCTGGCAGCGAAAAAGATCAACCTGAAGTTCTTGCATGAAAGTTCGGTCACAAGCCGCGATGCTTAGTCATGTCACGTGAGTGTCCATAAGCGCTGGGGCTGGAGATGATGAGAGCAGATGATACAGTTGATGCTATGCAGACAGTAGAATAGGGGTAAGATGGACGAGCGGATGACTGATAACTGTTCATTACTATATAGCTATTTTCAACTGAGTGGCTGCTCTGCCAGAAACAGTAGGAGATAAAAGAAGACGTATGTAGCAGGGCATATAGACAAAAACGACGAAGCAGCGAGACGGCAAAGGGAAAAGCAAAGCTGGGAGAGATCTCCGAGGCCCGGCTTGGTCACTGGAAGAAGCAGAGATGCAGGTGGGAGTGTGATATGAAATGGATCAGTTCGTCTCCAAGAACCACCGTGTATAACGGCTGCCAGGTTGGCTGGTTGAGTTGGCGACGGGTAGACTTTTGTCTATATCGGATGTCTCGTAAAAGGTGCGGTAGAAACGGAAGGGGCAAGGAATAGGAAATTTAGGTCTGGGGATAGAGGATGAGTGACCTGGGCAGGTAGAGGTAAAAGGGGGCAAAAAATAAACGAGTAAAAGAAACACAGAAGGAGAATGAGATGGAACTGGGCAGTGTGGACGAGAAGGGGATATATATAAACACAGATCAAAAGGAGATTTTCCAACCGGTCAAAAGTCAAAGAAAGAGAGCGCTCATATGGTCCTGTAGCACGTTTGAAGCATCGGCAAGATCCGTGGAGTAGGCAAAAGTAAGAAAGAAAAAAAAAAAGCGAGAGAAGCAATATAAACAGACCAACCATCATACATAAAGCGAGGATGATAAAAACAAAGCAGAGAGAGGTAAAGGAAACAGTGTTCCCTTTTTTTTTTTTTCTCTTTTTTTCTTTTTTGTTTTGGTATTTTGGGATATAGTGACGAGTGTGTGAGAGAGAGGGTAGAGATCTCTTCCGAGGAATTCCAGCTTCGTCACAGCAGCTGGCGGAAGAGCTGACGACAATTAACATATCTGGTATCATATCGGGCCTTCTGTGGTTATGGTTGAGGGTCGCCTGGGGTAAAACTTGCGGAATTATTTTTTTATTGGAAAGGAAACACTGGGTGGGGAAGGGTATAAGCTGGACTGAGAATAAAAAGTCACCGAAACCAAATCAAGAGTTGTTGCTTTTTGGTAGATTATTGTAGATTGGTTGGCTGATGGAGTTCGCAAGTTGGTGAGTGTGGCTGGCGGTTAAGAGTCGTACGTCGATATTGTCGAGGCCTGGAGGAGGTAACCGAAGGAACGGAACAGGCAGGCCAAGTATAACAGGCATGTTTGATTGTCGTCAGTTTAACCCTCATAAGATCAGGTTGTTCAAGTTCTTTTGTATAATCATGTCCTGCACCGAGTCCATAGTTGCCTTTAAGAGGGTGGTATCAGTTGCGTTAGTGTAGTGGGTGTATATCTCTCGTTCGGGAACACGAGTGATGCCCCTGAACCTGTCGGCGAAGTACTTTGCAGAGGCCTCGAAGTCACCATCTCGCCCGCTGTAATCTGGGAAATGCTTGGACACGGGCGATATGGCGAGTTTCTCCTTGAAGAGATCTATCTTGTTGAGGAAGAGGATGACAGGCTTGCGTTTGAACCATTCACCGTTTACGAGAGATTCGAAGAGCATCATAGCTTCATGCATTTGGTTCTGTGGAGGTTAGCCTTTTGTCACGGTAGCAGCTTTTCGAAGAATGGTCCGGCCGACTTACAGCAGTCTGGTCCTCCACTAGACACTGGTCGTAGCCGGATAGGGCTACCATAAACAGCAGACACTGTACGCCTTCGAAGCAATGGATCCATTTCTTACGCTCCGATCGCTGGCCGCCAACATCCATCATGCGGAAGTTAATCTGGCCGAGCTCAAAGAGGGTCTCGGTGATTCCGGTAGTCCGTAGTCGAGAATGTAGCATGTCTTGGTTGTTTGGCAGCCAGCCAGGCGTGAATATCCGGTCCAGCGAGTTGAAGTAGCTGCCGCAATCCGTCAGAATAACTAGTTCAAAAAAAAAAAAAAAAAAAAAAAAAAAAAAAAAAAAAAAAAAAAAAAAAAAAAAAAAGGCAGATGGTATGTTAGATTCCTGTCCGACTTACTAGTGGAGGTTATCATGGAGGGCGAACTCGTGGCCCCGGGCGACTGCCTTCTGGACGCCGGCGTCCTCCCACATCGTCTTGACAGCCTCCCGCACTTTGATATCGGTGAAAGCTTCATCGCACTCGACGTCCGCTTCGCTGCTCTGGATGAAGTGGGCGAGGGGCTAGATTTGTTTATTTAAATTGGCGGTTAGCTCTTAGCTAGCTCGGCATAGATGTATAAACCATTTCGAACAAAGAACCAAACAAAGGGAACGGGCGACGGGCTAATATCGTCATGCATACCTCCGTAGCTTCATGCTCGAAGCTTATGTTCTCCGCTTCCATGATCTCGATGAGCAGCTTGAAGGCGACAATCATGTTGGAGTAGATGACCGCCCGAGTCTGCCGGCGCTCGTCTATAGGGAATCCGCCGGAGTGAATGATGCGCATCTGCTTGATGATGGTCGACTTGCCGGACTCTCCAGCGCCTGCGGGTGAATTGTTGCTGGTTAGCTAGCTGAGCCAGGTAGGTAGATAGGTAGGAGGTAGGTAGGTAGGTAGAGGCAAGCAAGACAGCTGTATACGCACCGAGCAGCAGTATCTTGACCGTCCTGTCGTACTTCTTCTTGTCTGCCCGGATGACCTTGTCTATGGCGGCGCTGTGCTTCCCCTGCTCCTTCATCTCCGGACTGATGTCCTTCGAGTTCATGCAGCCCATGGTGCCGGCCTCTAGACGAAACAGCAGTTAGCAACGATGCGCAAGCTCCTCGAGGCCTCGTTTCTTCTCTGTCTCCGGTCTCTTCGCTCTCAAATGCCAGCGCCTACCAGGTAAAACGTCGTATCGTATCGTGCAAAATGCAGTTTTATGCTGGAATCAAAATTGCAGTCCAACTTCGGGGGGGGGAACCCGCGAGATGCTGGACTCCGGCTCGTAGCACAGAACACTCGCACACACACACACACACAGCCAGGATGCGGACACCGGGACAGGAATGCACCATGAACCAGGTCTGTCTCTCGCACTCTCTTCCTCTTCCTTGGTTCTCTCGTCTCGTCCTGTCCTTTTAATCCTCCCGTGGTTTTCGAGGTGGCAGCGTTCGGCGGGCGGGAAGGCTGTATACGAGACAGCGCAGCAGCGAACTATCGGACGGGACAGC